CCCATCTGAGTGTAGTAGATGCGGGAAAACAGAGTTCTCGAGCTTTGTAATAAGTGTTTTGGGGTTCCAACAAAGAGGCCTCCATAGTTATGGGTTCTATGTAACAAACATACCTCCACTACATAAGATCCCCAAAACCTCCCAACCTGATCACAACCTGAATCCAAACTGCTGGCTTCTCCTCGACCTGGCGATCTTGGTAAAGCTGGGGACTGAGCTTTTCACGCGAACTCCCTTGCCCACTGCTGCTTGTAAAGGAGAAGGCAGACCCTTATGGTCCTAATCGCACACGTGGCATTAGACATTCGCCGCGATATGCGGCTTGTCCGGCCAATAAAATCTTCATCCATATAGCAGCAGTAGCCTTAATTGATAGGCAATGCAGTTAGGAAAGGGTCAAGGGCAAGAGAAGTTTGAAGTCGTGCCAATTTCATCCAAGGGGCTCAGGGGATTCGGTATCAGTGGTAGGCCACGTAATACCTGGAGTTCCATGTCTCTCCTTGGATATCGTCATGAGCATTCATACTTTGTGGCGCGCTGACCACGCAGATTCCAAGACTACTCCAAGCATCGTCATGTGATTCATCATATGGATCTTGGGTTTGATCCGAAACAAAGGCCACTGTCGATTTGCAGTTTCTGATGCAAGAGCCCCCGTACCTTCCTTACAATCATGTATGGGATACAAAGTACATCCTTCATTATAAGTTGCATCCCCCTTTTACAGCTTCTACAAAAGCACCTTATAAGGTTTAACCAACTCATGTCAAGGTGCTGTGATATTCCAGGCATGCCGAACCAAACGCTTGGCTTCGGCATGGGGTATCCAAAGGCCATGCTGATAGATACCCCGAAAGAAAACATTCACGTTGGATATCGTCCAGCGGAGAAGCTCGTAAAGGTCTCGGTCACTCGCAGCCTTGGCACACTTTTGAAAGTTGAATTCTGAGAACTATAGGTTCTAGAAGGTTAAGATTGAAAGGCAACAATATATGGGTCCCTAACCAGTCCTATTGTGGTAACCTCGAAACCTTTCTCTATAGAACAATATGCATATGGAACCCGTATAGCAAAAAATAGTCCAAGCTTCAACACCATCGGCTATGCTAGGCTCGTTCAAGAAATCATCTAGCCAGCTGCAAAGCAGGATCGTGTCGAAGGCCTTGCCAGCTCCCGCTGGGAACTGGCGAAGCCTTATATATGATACTCAGAAGAGTCCCTTGCTAATTGTTGGGGGATGGGTTTGCCCTAGAATCCTAGAAAAAATTAAATACCTGACTGCCAAACCTTTGCCATGCTGAGGCCTGGGAGCGTCTTCATTTTGAACTTCAGCAACGTGAATTGCTCAAGGCTGCTTGATTTTCCATTGGCCCGGCACCATTGTATAAAGGCATCGTACAAGATATCAAGCCTTGCTTGTATGGATCCCCCAGGCACAGCCTTCAGCATACATAGCAAAATCACAGATGATGTTGCCATGACTGACCCACATCCTTNNAGGCGCCAGGGATTATCCCCGCCAGGGATGTTTCGAAGTGGGGATCGATCTTGCTTCCATGGAGGCGGAACAGGAACATCAGGGGACCAGGAACGGACAGCTGATTCAGGGGTGCAATTATACCAATCCTGACAATGAAATTCCTTTAAAGCTTTGAGCACATCTTTGTACAACCGTATACATAATCTAGGAACCTATCGACATATGTAAGGGTTTACTCATGTGAGCTCCCATTACAAAAAATTATGCTGTTTCCATCTGGAACCTCTTGGTCACATAGGTGGCAAATTCGTTTCGAGCTGAAGCCTGTCCGAAGGCAAAATGCCTTGCGTAACCACACCCAGTCGCCTTTGCAACCAAGCCATGCCACCCGGAACTTGTAGCGGTCCCCAGCATGTTCTACCTTAAGTGATTCCAAAAACATTACACGATATTGGGTGGAGAGGATTTACTTTTATCTCACTACTAGCCTCATACAAGCCAAGATGCTTCGATCCCATTTTGAAACAATGATATGCAATCTTGGGCCAAGTAATCCAGTAGCTGGAAAATCGTAGTGTCCCCATGATAACATCGCGAAGGCAAGACTGTGTACAACAGCCGAGAGCAAAACGAATGCCTTGGAAGTACTCCCATTCAAATGGGTACAGCAAAGATGGGTCAGGATCATACCTAGGGGAAAGAACTATATTAGTATAATGCCTGCCCAAGAAACCCGCTCATGTTTGTCCGGCGCTTCCCGTGATGAGAAATGATGCCTTGAAACGAAATCACCAACACAGGCTGTTTGGTCCTGCCTCGGCCCTCGTCGCCGTGCAGAAGGAACGGTACCGTTATGCAGTGGTCAGCTTCCATATCTGAGGAATACACGGGATGCGTAGGATCTGTCGCCCTGTAACAATCCCAGAATTCCTGAAGCTCTCGTTTCCAAAGGTGGGTTTGGGATATGTGGTTGCCAGCTAGGAGCAGCTGGCCTCCTTGCACCTCCATGATGTACCGTATCCAGTTCGAAAGACTCAGAACAGGCCACGTAACTTCCAGGAGTTTCCTCTTCCGGGGATGCTTGATATTGACATTTGTGTGGTCAATCTGCACTTGCAGGCTGAAACCAGGTTTGGCCAATAAGCGGTGCAGTTTCTCGCACGTGTTCTTGTCATTGTCATCACGAGCACATTTTGCCAATTGTCGCAACACTGGATCCATTATACCTAGCAGGGTCTGAACTGAGGCTGTGTAGGTCAGGGCTATTTTTGTGCCATAAAATGGATGGGTTTCTTGAATAGATTTGTATATGGCTCCCTATGAAACCATTTCCTGAACCCTTAGCCTCCTTTCTTTAACTTAGCGTTGGCCTTTCTAGCTAGGCGACATGTGCGAGCCGCGCTATCTGCCTTGGCTGCACAATAGATGACAAGTCAACAACTGGGCCCTTTCCCCATACATTTCATGCTTCACATTACTTCTGCTAATCATGTCTGCTCCTATCCAGAAGCTCGACCCTGGAACCACAAATCCCGTGTCAAGCTAGCCCTTTAACAAACTCACTTTATAAATATATATATACCCTCTACGTAACGAAAACCAAGGGTCCCCAGACGAAATACCCACCAGGAGCTCCTCCACGAAATCGTTGTCGTCAGACGCTTCATCATTGACACCTGAGCGGATATTAAGGGAGGGGTTATTAAGGGGTTTGTGTGGAGGGTTCGAGATAGTTGAGGTTTGTTTGGAGAAGGGTTCATGTCATATATCGGGCCTGGATTATGTATAGGGGCTTATGTGGAGGAGGGTTCGGGATATTTAAGATGTGTTTGAGGGAGGGTTCATGTCATATTATAGGGGTGAATATATTATATGATATTATATATATGGGGTTGTGTGGAGGGTCGGGGGTAGTTCAGGTGTGTTTCCCATTTTGTAGAAAAAAATGAACGGAGTAGTGTTGATCCCCTCACATGCAAGTAGTTGGGAAATCCCACTGATGAATGCCATGGTTATTAGGGCTACAATTCTTCCGGGTTTTGCAGTACATTTGGCTTGGAAAAGCTCGAGTCTGAAAGGCTTGGTGTTCATACGATGGGGTTTAGCATGGTACAGGGTAAAGTATTGGCATCCCTACATAGTTAAGAGTTTTGGGTTTATAAGGGCAGTTGCATGGGATACGTGCTACAGGCTTTCGGAGATTTGTGTAGGGTTACACAGGACTCGCTACAGCAAGGAGTTTGCAAAATACAGTGACATCCTTTCAAGCTAAGCTGGTAAGTTTACTTGCAAATGCACGGCTGAACTCTTGAGGGCTCGGCAGGTATCAGCACATTCCACATCATGACCTGCGTGGGCTGATGGTTACAAGCAGGGCCGGTAGAGAATCAATGTGTTAATTGCTCACGCAGGAATGCCAGACTTGTTTTGCGCTCAGCAGCTCTTGCGATCCCCAGGCTTTAGCTAAGCCAACTTGCGGCCTGCTGTTAGAACAGCAGACACTGCCTGATAACATCTTGCATTGCAAGCGGAAGCCTACACTAGTCTCCTGTCTTGGACCTCTTGTTGGGGCCCTTAGCCTTGGCCTGTGGCTTCGACTTTTTTGAGGCAGCACCCTTCTTCGGGCTGGGCTTACCCTTCGGTGCAGGCGTAGACTTCTGAACAGTCCTGCTGGGCATCCATATAGTTCCATGAAATTTCAACACAATATGTTCCAAGCCAGGCACTGAACCGCAGCTAGGTCACTTTGATCGTACCACGTGGTGATTCAAGGTAAGATCCGCTTTCGTGCACTCAATGTACACACTCAAGGCTCGCTCCTTCAGCCTTGCGACATAGCTGATCATGACAGCCCGGCGTGAGAACTGATTACGAACAATCGCATTCTATATAAACCACACCTCTTCGTCTGGGCCTGGGAATCAGCCGTGGCTGCATCACCTTGAATCTGAACCAGCTCATCGTAGTTCGAGTTCAGCTGAGATATCGAAGCTGCCACATCAGCAGCCAACCTTGTATCAAACAAAATGACATTATTCGTGAAGTTGATTGAGGAGCAGGCTTTCAAGTAAATTATAATCATGTCGAGGCACTTGATGGCCTTCGCGCCCTTGTTCCCATCAAGTTTCTCCTTCGCGAATTGAGGCGTATGTTCCCCCTAGATTTAAATTGCAAGGCGTTATAGTGCTGACATCATAACGGAACCCATGCAAGACAAGGTCCTTAATGCGCTCAGCCATGTCAATCTTCTTGCCCAGAACACCAATGGATTCCGGGAGCAGCACAAGGGGCGACACATTCTGTTGCAGACTTGGGAAGCACATCCTCAATGGATTTTGCGGTAAACCAAAGCCCAAGTAGACTTATTCAGGCAGTAGCGCCAGAAACCCTGCTAGCCAAGTAGCTTGAAAGAAGCCCCGCCTTGGGCTGCGATATCAGCATCATTAGTCGTACGCGTTGCTGCTGCTTCAGGCTCCACAAGATCAGGGTTCTCCTCGTGCAGCAAGCTGCCATCTGGATCCTAAGCTGCATACACTTTGTTCGGGGCTAACCTGAAGCAGCTGCAAGTTCTAGAGCACCATGATGTTATCCATCCGTTCATGTCAGTCCAAAGCACATCCATGCTGAACTTGGATGCAAAGCCCACACGGTTCCCTGTCTCTGAAAGCTTCGTCCATTGCATCTCCAATGGTATGTCAGCTTCCTCATTTCCATGCACAGGGTTCTTGCGAACCAGGCCCCGCGGCCTGGCCCACTTCTCGAAGGCGTGATCCGCCATGGACCTTGGCTGCTACAAGCAGGCGCCATGTAATCAACTATATTTCAGAGCTCAGCTAGGGAATCTTTTACCGGAAGAACAACAATCCAGTGCTTTCAAGATGCTTTGTGAACTTCCTGACCTCCGTGAGCCACTCCCTAGTCACATACCCCCCAGTCTCCTTCTTTTGCTGCAGCTGCTGATGCCATCTCTCCAAGTGACCCTCGATCTTGTCAAAGTCACCATGCTCGAGCAACAACTGGCGGAGCTTCTCGCCTCATCATATTGAATCATGCTTGTGAGGTATTGAATGGATTCGGAGTGGCAGTAGGCCAGCCATGCGTAAATGAAATAAGATGCGCCCTTCAGTATTTTTCCCAAGCTCCATGACCCGGGGCGAGCATTTGACCTCACCCTTGGCATTTGGCATAAAGTGGCGGCGCACCCTTGGCTTGTTTCAACTTGCCTACAAGAGCTTTTTGAGGAACACAGAAAAACATTCTGATATGATATCGGAACAAGTGACTTCCAATACCCGTCGGGTTTGGGGGCTGCCTTTGCTTTGGGACTGGCTCGGGGTCGAGGTCGAGCAAACATAAGCTGCTTCGCAACACTGCACTTGCCTGGGGCTTGCTTGCTGCGATTGCTGCTAAGACTTGGCCTGGCTGGTGTCATGTGACGCGGTGTCATGCGAAGCGGGGCCTTTCTAACTGACTTCACTGGGGTTGGAGTGTCCAACTCCAGCACGGTGGGTGTGGGAGGCGAAGGAGCAACCAAAGATCTTGCACGCCTGGGAGGGGTCCGCATAACTTGCGTGGCCTCGAGCTCGCCATCATGACTTGTCAACTCATCATCCACTTTAGAGGATTGAGCAAGCGTGTCAACTGTGTCACTTTGCTTTGGGCTTCGTGGCGCAGACGTAGCCATGTCTGCCAGGCTTATCTTTGCCTGGCCGGCTACGTGTGCATCGTGGCCACTGGCCGAGGCAATTGCTGGTGCACCTGCAAGAAAGGGTAGTGATTAGTAAGGTTGGCAAAGGCTCATTTAGATAGGGTGGGGGGGTTTATAAGGATAGGCTACGCTATACCGTTAGGGTTGCAGCTTTTAGTAACAAGCCTGGCAACATAGCCGGGATGGGTTCCACACTGAAGCTGTGCAGGCGGTTCTGAAGGCTGGCGATATTGGCGTTGGCTTCCTAGGCTTGATTTGCGTGAAGTTTCTGAGGAGGGTTATTGCTAGAAACCTTGGGGGCTATTACGTTTAATTGAAACAAAGTGCTCGTATCTTCGCATCAAGTTCATCCTCGTCCATAGACGAAAAATCCGACCACGAGCCAGCCACCATTGCAACACCAGAGTTCAGGGTGGCCAAAGACACCATCTTCCCTAAACATGTAATAATGCTTCAGCACACACGAAGCATCAATTGCGAATCCTCTACAGCAACAGCTTTGCCTGAATTTGGTATGGGAAGCACGCAAACACTTCATCCCAAGAATCTGTTTCCTGCCAAGTCTGGTAATTTCCAGCTGCAAGGAGATGCTGGCTTTGGTAGGGGGCCACAATCAAAAAAAGTGCGTGTCGACAAAAAAGGTACGTGGAAAATGTCTAAAAGCACGGATTTTTAAATTGCGCGATTGTTGCGGCAAATTGCGCGATTGTTGCGGCAAATTGCGCGATTGTTGCGGCCTGCCAGGGGCCGCCATGTAGCTAGATTTTCAAAAAAAGTGCGTGATCCTAAAAAAGGTTCGGGAAGAGATTTGCTAGTCTACCAGCCCCGACATGTTCTCTGCCCCGACATGTTCTCTGTGGCCCCCAACCAGGACTAGTCTATTCCTAAGGAGAACAGGCCTGACCCCGAGTTGAAGGTAGCTGGATAAGTGTCAGGGTATTTGCATTGGGGCAGGCCATATACTCCCGAGCAGCACGCTGAGGCTGCAGCGTGGA